TTTTGGAAAATAGAGAAAAGTAAAATATTAAGAAATACAGATTTTGAATTAAACTTTGAGTCAGAACAGCAAGCTAATTCTGTATCGAATAATACCGTTATGAGAATTTCACAATTTATATAATTTGTTATTTAGTTTAAACATGTGAGGTTTGTTTTTTATTTATGTAATAAATGAGTAGTTAGAATATAGTAGTATAAAGAGAGAGAAAAAAGTAACGATATATATATATTCATATATTGTGTGTGAGAACCCCCCACCTCATTATTTACTTCAAAACGGAGACGGACAGACAGAAGTGTCAAGGCAATAGAAACATTGTTATGTTTTTCGATTGAATTCGAACGATATCGGCAAAGGAGTAAATCTGATTGATATTGATTAAAAACTAAACTCTTCTGCGCTGCTTACGTTTAGAAAAATGTATTTAAACCTATTTAATATACTAGGCCAAATAAACCTAGCTTCTATTTGATATTACATAGGTATATTTTTATTGCATAACTTTAGTTTTTAATATCTAATGGACAAAAGTATGTATTTGCTTTTCAGCGTCGTGTTCAACATTTAATGGGAAAGAGATTTGTGATCCCAGTGGTGCCGATCGAGTCAATACAGGTCCGAACGTAGCCAGTGATTCCAACTTTCTAATTGCGTTATCGACCAGGCTGTCCTCCCGGGGGGAACTTATATACATGTATCCCATCACCTATCCTATCTAATTGACGCTCGTGTGTTTCCTATAAATTGACAATATTAACATTATGAAAAAGGCATCTCCTTATCGTGCAACTGAAAGAATGGGTCAAATCAAAGAATGGGCATTTGGTCAATTCTGAAAAAAATTAAAATCAACGAGAATAGTTGATATTTATTCCGATAGATGGCGCAAGACATCAGCAACTTTCAGTTGCACGATAAGGAGATACCTTTTTCATAATGTACTCGTATGCACCTTATTCCAGTACAATATCACATTTGTACTATTTTTTCACAATATTAGAGAGATCGAAGAATTTCCCGTATATAAACATGTTAGAATTATAAATATCTCTTTTAAAAAAAGTCAACTTGGGTATATTTGTTCCTTGGAGAAATCCACAATATTTTACCTATAAGGATGATATTCAAACACACTATAGCCTCAGATCTCTAAAGGGAATCATTGTCTTAATTTCGACTTCGTAATTATAATCCAGTATTAAACAAATTTGCATATTTTCGGGTCTGAAAAGGATTTTTCTATCATTATTACTGCTATTACTATTTTATTAATAAATATTTGTTGAGACAATGTTTTTTTGGGAAAACATCCACTCGGACATAACTCAGGAGAAGCCGGGTCATTCGTCAAGTTTTAAATAAATAGAATGTGTATCTTTATATTAATATATATATATAGTGATATTTTGATACTCTGCAATATTTTCGATCGTAGAAGAAAGTAAAATAAGATATCTAATGGAAACAAAAGGAGCACTTAGAGGGGACTTAGTCAAGAGCTATGAAGTAGAGTATGGTTAAGATTCAGATTTGAAGTGAAAGGTTGTATGGGCGAGAGACAGAGGAAAGATTACTGGAATCATTCGAATCGTAAATCTATAGTAGAATCGAAGCAATAAGATGGAATTACAGGATCAGGAATGAAGAAGTCTTGAGAAGATTGGGAAAGGAACAAAGCATGTTGAAGGTCATCGACAGATATATTGGATGGGAATATAATGAAGAAATAGATCGATGAAGAAGGTTCGGGAATGAATGGAAGGAAACTGAGTGTTGTAAGAATAATTAGACTGGATAGAGAGAGAGGATCTATGAAAAAATAAAGAGATCATGATAAGGAAACATAATACCAATGTATATCAGAACCTACTCATCAGAGAATTTGAAGAAGTATAGAGGAGTAAGTATCGAAACCAGATACAAGTTGTCAAAGAGGGAAATGGAACAGCCCGGTAGTATAAACAAGTTTGTGTGGTATAACTTAGGTAAACAAAACAACCCTCTTACAACTAATCAAAGTTTTAACTTTCCAAATAATCCTATTTTTCAAATTAGTAAATAAATCAAATTTAACGTACTATTTAAGCGATGATAGCTAAAATTTGGTTAAACTCCCCTTCATTTTGAGAATATATGTTTTTATATAGTTAACATGACTCTGAATATTATTGCATATTATTAAGGCATATTTCCTAACACACTAACTCCGACATAGCTGTTAGCACACACACAAGCAGATATTTATAACAATTATTATTGTCATATGACGACAACAAATACAATAGTTTCAATTAAGCCTATTTCAACTCCAATTTTTTTGCTTATCCCTAGTACACGTGGTACAGGCCATGATAATCATGGTGGGTAGAAGTAGGCGACTGCTTTTACTGTAAGTGCACCACATGTCTACACATATGAAAAGCAGTTCGACTTTGCACTTACAAATGTTCCAGAGCCCCGTTTGGTTACTTGCACTCGCTGGTGGGGTTGGACTTTTGCAAGAATCGGGGCCCATTGAAGCATTTTTTTTAACATAAAAAAGTGCCCAATGCGGGAATCGAACCCGGGTCGTAGCGGTCGAAAACCAATGGTTTACACCATCCTTCCACCGACCCCCCTCAACTCCATTTACGGTAATTTATTACAAAAAAACTTTTATTTTCAAATAATATCTCTGCCTTTTGTATTATGTTGTTGTTGTTGTCGTGTCCAAAGAAGAGTCTCAGATGTCTCCATGCATCTCTCTCTCTCTCCATCACATCAGCAGCAATATCCACTATCTTGCTCTTCATTGGAAAATGGGTGCCGTTGCCACGTTAGTCACCTTGGAAAAGAACCAGAATTTTGTCGAATATTCCAAGGGTCCAGGGGGGACCGCAGGGAGGTGTGGTCAGACTTCTCCCCCCCCCCCCCCTTTTGTATTATATCAATTTATATATAGAATTTATATTTATTTCAATGTTTATCAATATATCTCTACAACGTATATTTAAGAATATATATATCAAAACAACACCTTCAAATACCTACAATATTGGGAAACTAAAGAATTCTTTAAATGAAATAAAGCTAGGTCTCTCTGACAGGAAGATTTCCAAGAAAAACACTCGAAGCATCACCAATTAATTGAGTTGTTGTAACAGAAAAAAAAAGGCCATTACCTTGGATCAAATAACAGGAGGTGTTGTTTTTGACATTTTATGTGGCATTTGACAGAGGGTGTGTGGAGATATATTTTATAAGATGACCAAAACTTCTTACCAGAGGATAGAGAGAGAATTGGAATTGATAATAACCTTTCATTGATATTAAAAATAAGAGGTGCCTTTTTTGATATGTAAAAATAAATATTTTAAAAATCGGAATAAGATCTTAAAGAACATTATCCACGTCTACGTGAACCCAGTTCAGCTAATCAGAATAATGTCCAAGAAAAATTATATAGCGATAGAATTATTTAATTTTCATAAAGCGTTAGAGAACAAGGTAATCTCTAAGAACTAAAATTACAGAACAATTTCCATCCATAGTTAATTTGTATAGTTATGTTGAATACTTTGATTTCCTTTCATTTTCCCTTCTCTTCTTTGTTTATGTTTTTTTTTCCCCCTTTCTTCATGAAAATGAAGTATGGCGAGTCCTTACAGGACGGAAATGTCCTAATAAAGCTGTTGATGTTGTTGTATATTTGAAAAATGTGAACTTGACGAGGAAACATTTATCTTAGCCTCGGGATATCCCAAGGACCCGTGGCCTTCCTATAATACAGCGATTTGGTTTATACGATGGACAGCAAAATGAGCGCTTACAAAACTGAATGCTTTATATTCACTCCCCAATAAACAAAGAAAAAATCAATAGCGATACCTACGTTTTTATTTAATCTTGTGATATTTTTCAACAGCAGTGTGCATATAACAAGTACTGAGAGAACATAATAAATTATTTTATTATATATTGCGATAAGCCTATATATGTAAACAGAATAATTATAAACAAGTTGTGAAAAAATAGAACAAATGTGATATTGTACTGGGATAAGGTGCATAAATTAATAATGCATAAATCGTGCAACTGAAAGTTGCTGATGGCTTGCGCCATCTAATTTATTCCGATAGATGGCGTAAGTCATCAGCAACTTTCAGTTGCACGATAAGTAGATGCATTTTTCTTAATAAAATAATATAAATAAATTCATATTAAGAATTATATTGTAACATAGAAAATTAGGGAAGACAAACTTCAGGATGACACGGCAATATATTAAATGTAAGTACAAATAAAAACTAATAAAATATCAGAGAGGCAATGAGAAAATTTTACAGTGTATCAAAATACAAATATCGAATTTTTAAATTATTTTCATAGAATAATAAATAATCTGCTACAATATTCCCAATGAAGATCCGTCAGCTCTTTATAAAACCCATAATATGATGCACTAGCCGCCATCTGTTATCAAAATTCGAAACTATGTATTTTAAAGGCGTAAACATAGTTCTTCTAAAATACCCATTCCAAGAGTCTATTAACAGTATCACTATAAAAGGAAGTTCCAAAAATGCAATATAACAGCGGTATGGTAGATTAAACTGGCGAAACCGCTGGGAAGGTTCACCACTGATGAGCCAGGCCCTCCCATTAATTTTTCCATTTGCAGTAAGGGTAGTAGAGAGAGAGAGAGAGAGAGAGAGAGAGAGAGAGAGAGAGAGAGAAATTGTTTAATTTCAAAAATAATCTTACGCCTTTAAAATAGTTCCGATTTTTTTTTTTTGCTTATCCCTAGTACACGTGGTACAGGCCATGATAATCATGGTGGGTAGTTAGCGACTGCTTTTTACTGTAAGCGCACCACATGTCTACACATGTGAAAAGCAGTTCGACTTTGCACTTACAAATGCCAGAGCCCCGTTTGGTTACTTGCACTCGCTGGTGGGGTTGGACTTTTGCAAGAATCGGGGGCCATTGGAGCATTTTTTTTTTTTAACAGAAAAAAGTGTCCAATGCGGGAATCGAACCCGGGTCCTAGTGGTCGAAAACCAAACGGTTTAACCAGCCTTCCACCCATAATGGAAACAGTCTTCAAAGATATGAGACATTGTTTATAATTGCCCACAGTCTTTGATGAGATATCGTTTGTAGAAGACTAATAGGTCAGGCAGTTAAAAAAAAAGAATGAAAAATCATTATGTTCATCGTTCAAATAAGCATATTTAGATGGCAAAGTGCTATCTTCCAGAATAAATATCAATTAAATGTTTAATGAGATTTATTTCACTGAAATGGTCAGCTTATTTTCTGATGTTCCTTAAAGCTATCGTCAAACAACTTAAATTTTGAGTAAGAGATGGCAGTGGGATATGTGGTTTGTGATAAGTGTCATATGGGGTAGATAAGACATAGGTCGCGGTATCTTATCAAGAGTAAGCTGTCGTAGGATAAGTGAAACAACATCTGGTGGTGTCATGTGGTAGTGATGATATCATACACTGCTGTGACAGTAGATTGCAGCTTGTTTAGTAATATTGACTAATGTATTTCAAATTATATAGTCTATAGAACGCTTCACGATTTTGCGTGTCATCCTTGCCCAGGGGCCATGCTAATCTTCTCTGTATCCTTCCTATTGTAGAAGTTGTACCGCCGAACTGGTATCACAGGGCCATGCTAATCTTCTTTGTATCCTTCCTATTGTAATAGTTGTACCGCCGAACTGGTATCACAGGGCCATGCTAATCTTCTTTGTATCCTTCCTATTGTAATAGTTGTACCGCCGAACTGGTATCACAGGGCCATGCTAATCTTCTTTGTATCCTTCCTATTGTAATAGTTGTACCGCCGAACTGGTATCACAGGGGCCATGCTAATCTTCTCTGTATCCTTCCTATTGTAGTAGTTGTACCGCCGAACTGGTATCACAGGGCCATGCTAATCTTCTCTGTGTTCTTCCTATTGTAGTAGTTGTACCGCCGAACTGGTATCACAGGGCCATGCTAATCTTCTCTGTGTTCTTCCTATTGTAGTAGTTGTACCGCCGAACTGGTATCAAAGGGCCATGCTAATCTTCTCTGTATTCTTCCTATTGTAGTAGTTGTACCGCCGAACTGGTATCACAGGGCCATGCTAATCTTCTTTGTATCCTTCCTATTGTAGTAGTTGTACTGCCGAACTGGTATCAAAGGGCCATGCTAATCTTCTCTGTATCCTTCCTATTGTATTAGTTGTACCGCCGAACTGGTATAACTGGGGCCATGCTAATCTTCTCTGTATCCTTCCTAATGTAGTAGTTGCACCGCCGAACTGGTATCACAGGGCCATGCTAATCTTCTCTGTATCCTTTCTATTGTAGTAGTTGTACCGCCGAACTGGTATCACAGGGGCCATGCTAATTTTCTCTGTATCCTTTCTATTGTAGTAGTTGTACCGCCGAACTGGTATCACAGGGGCCATGCTAATCTTCTCTGTATCCTTCCTATTGTAGTAGTTGTACTGCCGAACAAGCGTGTATCTATACCCTATAGATAAAGTGCGTCGTGAAGTGTATGCTTTACCTTTAAGAAAGATGTTAGTGTCGAGGAAATTTAAAGGAAGAGAATATATAAGAAGATTTCCAATGAGAGATCATATAGGCTATTAGAAGATCACTAGACAATCTGCGAGTGATGATCACCAACAGGCCAAGTAGAAGAGTATTTATCCATATTGTCACAAAAGGTCGTACCCGACTTGATGGACATTGACAACAAGTATTTAACCTCACTCATAATGCCTTAATGAAGTTGAAAGGCCATTTAAAGAGCTTCAGCTCGAAAGGCTGTCTTCTTAATATGCAATAATATAAGAAAACATTGAATTTTTATTCAATATTATTGAATTTTTATTCGCAAATATGTTTGTTCTACATACGTTTCAACAATAGTATTATTACTTATTCCAGCTGTCTCGACCATAGTTGGCCTAACTGGATGATAGGACATAATGTTAAGTCTGGAGGTTTTCGTTGTCATAGTTTCTCAATTAGTAGAATATGTCTGATATCTGGCTTTTTTTTTTGCATAATTCGCGGAGTAAAAAGAAATGGTCATGTTAACAATATTCAAGTACACTCACGGAATAAACATTAGGAAGTTTTACCATTTATCATGTATATCGGGAATCATACAATAACTCTGAAAGATATTTAATATACAGTGATATTTATATATTGAAAACACACGTGATAACCAAGTGTAAACAAAATTGCCTCTGTTTCCTTAAAAAAAAAAAAAACGCCTGGCGACATAAAAGACTTTCCACTTCCTTAAATTTTTCCACATGACTGTATTAATTCAATGTATTATTAATAAACGCTACTACTAATAATAATGAAATATATATTTATAAAACTATGTTTAAACAATCAACGATGAGTTATCATTAACTTGAGCAGAAATAACCAAGTGTAAACAAAATTGCCTCTGTTTCCTTAAAAAAAAAAACGCCTGGCGACATAAAAGACTTTCCACTTCCTTAAATTTTGTCCATGTAATTGTATTAATATATTATTAACAAACACTACTGCTATTAAAAATGAAATATATAGTTATAAATCTAGGTTTAAACAATCAACGATGAGTTATCATTAACTCGAGCAGAACCCAAGCGAAGTCGTTCCTATAAAAATAAATAGAGAATTTCAGAGAAGTTAGTAAGCCGTCAAAATTACTAAAATAATTTATTTTATCAAATATATAGATAGAGTTAACTTATATTTTGTTCGAGAAAAAGTGTTTATTTTTCTCACTGTTCTCTCAAGCTTTTTTTGTTGTATATAAAGCATATAATTCTAAGAAATGTCTACTTTACGTTTAAATATTTATATAAAATATATATCCTCATACACATTGTGTTTATTTCTTTATTTCCAGAACAACTACTACTTGTTTTAAATAATAAATAACACAGAGATAGAAGTAGCGCATAAAATACATCTATTAAATATTTAAACACAAGTCTCGTCTGTATTATAATTTTATATCGTAAAAAAAATGAATAGTTCTGTTCTGTTAACCAATAATGTGTTATGTTGTATGGAGAGATGATTGATTTCCCCGCTATAAGAGTTTGTAATTTTCCTGATAAATTTCTCTATTAGAAATAAAAGGGGAAATGTTTTGAAAGAATATTCTGTGAATTTTATTTAACCTACCACCATCAGTCATTTCTGTCTGTTAGAAAATTATCAGTGAGCGTGTTTGTTGGCAGAAATAACTTTATCGAATGTTCTTCAAAAAAAAGATTAAATAAATTGAGAATTTTAATTTTATAAATTTAAATGAAAAATATTTTACGTAATATTCTTTTCTGCAAATATTATATTTGTATATGTGCATATTTGTATGTGTAATATTTATGAAAACAACTTTTCGTATAACATATAGACATTTTTAAATAAAAAGGCATATATTGAATCAAAATAACATTTATTTTACCAATATTTCAGTTGGCTGAATGTTATAACACCTTGATAAAGGTTGGCGTTCAGCCAACTGAAATATTGGTAAAATAAATGATATTTTGATCCAATATATGCCTTTTTATTTAAACATCTTAAGATATTCCAAGACCTGATTTCTATGCTACAGTATGAATAAATGAGATTATAAATAATTATATATAAATATAGGAGAAATAAATATTTCTGAAAATAGAGCACACAATCCTTATTTAAATCTTTAGATAATATAAATAAAAGATAGAGAGTCCGAGTATATAGAATAAAGAACTAAATTTCAAATAGACTGACTGATATTTACGTTATGTGAGGTTTCAATTTTATTTTTTTCAACTTTGATTATATTTCTTTTTGTCAATATATATAAAATGTGTATGAGAGGCATCCTAACATCAATATTTAACCAATGGTATCCACACATATTTGTGGGTAAATGTATACACCATGTGGATAAATGGATACCCCATGTATAAAAAATGACATCAACGGGATTCGAAGGTGTGTAAATCGGTCAGGATGTTGACCAGCCGACCTATATTTGATCCGCACAGGTGGTGTATGGATGTTTTATCCCAGCTGTTCCTTGATGAAATCTGCCAGAATGTATGTGTCTCTACATACTCCTACATATATTGAAGTGAATTTAGTAGAGGAGAATTGTTGAATGCAAGCTTTTAAACAGAGCATACAAGTGTCTCCCACCTTTCTAAAATCAAATTTGAAATAATTTGAAAATGTCTTCACTAAGGCTAAAGCTTTGGTGGTAAAACCTATTTCCCTATGTTGCTGATTGTTGGCAGTTGTACAATTTAATCCTTAGTTTTGCTTTATTGCTTAGTTAATTAAGCTTTAGGTTAGCACAACCTAATGAAGCCATCACTGCAAACATAAAATTAGAAATGAGTAGAAACCAACTTAGTGTTGCTCACTTAACACTGAAGTGGATACTAAGCATATTATCAACCAGCAGGTTCTTCTGTAACAATTTTGGTGTAAACATTTGGTGAAATTTTCATACTTACTCCTACAAGTGAAGTAGAACACATTGCAAAACATATTGTTTTTATGAAAATTCGAAACTATTATAGACGCGTATGATTCTTTTAAATATTAAACAATTTATACTGCCCTTACTGCATTGGAAAAATTAATGGGAGGGCCTGGCTCATCAATGGTGAACCCTCCCAGCGGTTTCGCCAGTTTAAGCTACCATTTAGGCATCTATAATAGTTTCGAATTTTCATTCGCGCTAATATGCATCATAATATAGTTTTATATTTTTGTCTAATGCATATATGAAATATATACATAGCTCTCTCATAGGATGTTATGAAATCGCCCTGTACTGATTAGAGCCAAAGCCCAACACTATGGTATACAAGTTGTCTTTCTGCTTGAATTTGCTGAAACTTTCGTAGTGGTTCATTTATCAGGCGTCAGGCGTCTAGTAACAAGAATATACGGGTCAGGCGTTTGGCGAGTTCTAATAAGACTAGTATAGCAAGGATTACACCAATCACCAACCAAGGCAGTGTGACCATGGCGATTTTTAACCAGGGCAGTGTGGCCATGGCGATTTTC